CAACTTTAGCTTTTTATTTCGAACCGCGTTGTGAAGTTAAGACGGGTAGTTTTATCGGACACAACATAATTAGTGGCGACCGTGACAGGACTGAAGCAGACATCCTGGCCGAGCTGGACAACTGACTCAGATAAGTAACTTTTCCGAAGTGGTAGTTTTTGTGTTGCTACAACGCTAGAAGTGATAAATATACCGGGCCGCCCTGTTACTAGGCGAATGTGTGTTGCAAGCTTTTAATTGATATCGTTAGCAGCTATTTTATTATATTGTCTAAATCGAGGCCAAAAATAAAATGAGGAGAGTTAGGCGCACTGCTTTTACAAAGCGGGCAAATGAGCTAGATAGCTTTTTATTTCGAACCGGGTTGTGAAGTTAATACGGATAGTTTTATCGGACACAACACAATCCAGCTGAATGCTTTTACAACAATTGAAAAAGAACTGTTAGCAATTGTATGGGCAACAAAGTACTTTAGACCGTACTTCTTTGGCAGAAAATTCAGCATCGTAACAGATCACAAACCACTACAATGGCGATTCTCAATCAAGGAACCGAATTCCAAATTAGTCCGATGGAGACTGAAACTTCAAGAATACGAATATACGATCCTTTGCAAGAAAGGAACCCAAAATGCAAATGCAGTACCCACCCAATGGAAACAGTAAAACCACCCTTGACACACATGTCAGCTGTTTGCAATGAAGATAACAAAGAAAGAGATCCATACGCATGGATTGACAACGTAAAACACTTCATCGAATCTCAAGAAAGACCAATTTTTTGTTGTGTTTAATTCACCAAAAAGGTGTTGCAGCCTTTCTTGCAACAAACGGTCAAAAACACCCTGAATTCCCCCTATAAAAACAAACCCATGAAAACCGTCTGGGTCGTTGATCTTCTCAGCGAAGACCTTTTTTAAGTGCCCGACCAGGCGGGTAAGGGAAGAAATTCCCGTAGTAAGTCCCATGCCCTGGGCACTCTCACTTAAAAACCTAACCGAGAACGACATAGTCGCCAGAGACGCTACAGACGATAACGAACTACAGATTAAATCATGAAATAACCCACTGTAGGAAAATATTATGTGGATGAATGCGATAACGCAAGTCAAATGTCAAATAAATCTCCCCATTGTTGTTTATGGGTTTGCCACGGACAAGATGTCTGTTGATGTTGATTATTTGCTATCATCTAAAGAAAAAGCCTATGCCGATTTTATTCATTTCTGACGATATAATCTGTGATAAGTTGTATGTATGATTTCTTGCCTCATGCTTCCTGCACATACTGGATTGTGATATGTTTCCCCATGTTCTCCAATACGTAATTTGTGAATATTCTGTTGGGTAAGTCGAA